ATTGGCCAAATGTTGACTTGTAGCCACTGGTTTGAAATGCATTCTTGTATCAAGCATTTGTTAAATATTTCTAGTAATAATAGGAGAGCTAATAATGATAGGTGTTGTAGAACCTCATTTGTGATTCCTAGTGGTCCTGTTGCTTTTCCTTTAGAAGCTTCTTTTATAGTTTGTTCTAGCTCAGATAGAGAAATTAGAGACAAGAGGTTGTCATAAATATTACTTTTAATGTTATTAAGTAGATTATATATTAATTTTTATTTCTTTTAAATATTATTATTAGGTGGATTTTCTTTGGTTCAGTTTTTGTAATGTTGACATGTGGCTTCTTTGATTTCATTCTTGTTAGTAATTATCTTGTTTAGAAATATAATTTTTTCAAAGTTTACTGGTTCTGCTCTTTTTTTAAGAATACTATCTAGCATATGACTAGTGTTATCTTTAAAGTTTGAGTATCTTTAGTTTGTATAGAATTTGATTCTTTTACTTTGTTTTTGTTTTTTTTGAAGTTCTGTGCTTGCCATATTGTATGCTTGTATTGCTTTATCTGTGTTATAAGATCAAATAAAGAAAAATTTAATTATTCTTATATAATTAATGAAATGTCTATTTTAGCAAGAGTAGCTGCCTTTGATAGATAAGAGTTTACTCTAGTTAAGTCATTTAGGCTGTTATTTGAGAGGTAATGTAAGTATTTGTTAATGTTTTTAAGAGCAGAATGCAGTTTGGTTGCTTTTAGCAAAAGTGCAAAAAAGTGTTTAGAAATAGTAAAAGTATATGGAATATGTTTATTTATTTTTTCTTTAATTTTTACTGCTCAGAAGTTCCATATTTTGTTTATATTATTTTTGTTCATATTTGATATTGGAATATTTTCTGGATTAAAACAGATATTTAGTAATTCTTCAAAATCTTTGATATCATTTTCTCAAACAGGTATATTTTCTTTTTCTTCTTTTCAGTTCTAGAGTTTTTTTGAGATGAAAAGTTTGTATACCAGGTTGTACTTAGAATGCAGTAACCACTGCCTAAGATATAGAAAGCATTAGTTAGTGATAAAGGTTTAAATGCAAGTAGTATATCTGACAAGATTCAGAAATCATCAATTTGGCTAGCAGAAATTGGGCCATGTCATGTTAGTGTTTGGATGTTGTGAAATGTTAGTAAACTTATCAGATTAGCAGCATTTAAGTTTGTAAATATTAAAAAGTGTTTGTTTCTAAATTGATTAGCATTAAAATCTCCTAATATGATTAGGTGCCAGTTTCTAGCTCTAGCTTCTGTAATCCAGTTGAATAATTGGGATTAAGTTTTTTTTAGAAAAGCAGGATGATTTGAAGAAAGGTAAGTTGAAATAATACAAGATTTGTTGTTATTAGGAAAAAAGAAATCAAAACATATAGCTGTTTCTTGAAAGATATTAATTTTGTAAATGTATGGTTATAGTTGATGCAAACTATTAAGGTGGTTTTTAAACTGATTTTTCATTGATTTGGTTTGTATAATACAAAGTTTGAAATAAAGATTTTATATAAGAAGTTGGTTAGTGACTTCATCATCGAGTCTTTTAGCTTGGTTTTAGTGAGAGAGATTATATCTAAGTTTGATTCAGCACAGTATTCAATCCAGGTTTGCATTTTTAGTATATCATTAATGCCTCTAATGTTGTGAGTAGTAATGTTAATTTTTTCATTTATATTAAATTCATAGAGATTTGATTTGTTCATGTTTTCTACAAATTGTAAAATGTTTGTATTAGGATATATGCTTATAAGTCTTTTGTCATAAAATCTTCTTCTATTTCAGGTGTTTGTGTCTTTGATATTGTGTTAGTTGTTTTTTTGTCTTCAAAGATATCAAAGGATGACTTAGATAGATCTGTAAGATCAAATATATATTCTGGTACTGTATAATAGAAGAAATTTTGTTGAAGAGTTTCTAAAACCAATAGGATGTTGTGATGTTTTTTAATAGGCACATTTATGTTGTTAATTTTTTTTTTGACTAATGTAAGCTGTAGTTTTTCTAGTGTAAAAAGTAGTTTATCTAGAGTATTACTAGGTTTAGATTGTTTTTTTTGAATATTTATCCATAATTGAGGTATTGTATAAAAATAGTAATGTTCATGTAGTGCTTTAGCTATAATGCTTAGCTCTTTGGGAATTGAGATTGATAGTATTAAGTTTACTGCTGTAATTAGTTTGGTATCTTCAGGTAGGTCAGAAAGTTCTGTATAATTGAAGTTATAATATGTTTTTAGCAATGATATTGGAATGCTGTATATAGGTAGGATCTTTTTAATGAATAGATCAACTTCTTCTGCAGTTTGTAAGTAAAAGGCAAGGTCTGATATTTTTAAATCTGCAGGATTTTGAGGCAGTCTTCTGCGTGAAATAATGTATTCATTTGATAATCTTGTAAATAAATAAACCATTTGTAAAAGTTTAATATTTTTTTGAAATCTTCTTGATCTTTAGATAAGAATAAAAATTTTTCTTTTAATCTGAGAGTTAAGTCTTGTGAAGTAGAAGGTAGTGGCTCTTTGGTGCTAGTAGCTCAAAGTAGCTAAAAGGAATTTGTCAAAAAATATAAAATTTCTGCAGAGTTTCTTTATATTTAGTTAGGTTTTGTAAGTCTGCTCTGCTTATAATAGGAAATATATTGCATACTTCATTATTTAGAAGTTCATATAAGTCTGGTAAAGGTTCCTAATTATCTGAAATATATATTTCAGATATTTTGTCAAATGAGAACATTAAATACAAGGTCTTGACTATGAGTGCAATGATTTAATAATTTGAAATAAATAGGCTAAAAGAAATAACTTTCATTAGATAACTAGAGATTGAGGTAGGTTCTGCAAATAATGGTATTAGTGTTTCATTGATAAAACTTGAAACCATTTTTCTGGTTGTTTCAAAATTTAGTTGTAAGATTTTTGTAAACTCTATTAAATAAAAAATATATTTCATAATCTTCCATGTATCCATTGCATTGAAGTTTAGATTAGTTAAATAATCTGTTGCTAGTTTGATTCATAGTAGTTCAAAGATTTGATCCTGATTTTTTTTGTTTGTTGTTAGTATATTGTGATATTTTTTGTAGATGTCTAAAGCCTTTATAAACAAGTTATTAAATTCTGTTTAATGTTGTGGTCTAATTGTAATAATTTATGTAAAGCTTCTAAAAAATGTTATATCTCTATAAAATAATTTTGCTGTAATTGGTTTTGAAATATAATTTGTAATTGGTTTTGAAATAAGTTTGTATCTAATTAATTCTTTGATTTCATCATAGGATATTAGTACATTTTTGATTTCTAGTCAGGTTCAGGTTGTCATATCAAAAGATTCTAATCTATTTAGTCTAATTTTTTTTAGAGCTAATTATGCATATTTACACCATTCTTTTTCTTTGCCATTGTTGAAACTATTTGAAGTTTTTTTGTTTCTTTCTAGAAGGCTGTTGGTAACTGTCTAACTATATAATATCTTTTTTTGTGTTTGTTCTTCTAATATTGTTTCTATTGAATGTATTTCATTTTTTTTCTCATCTATGTTTGTTGTATCTTGATCTACTTCTATATCTTGTATTTGTTTATTTGTATTATCATCTGCATATTGACTAGGTCTAGAGGCTAGTTTTGACTGATTTAGTTTGTTTACATCTAGATTTTGTTCTTATGTGAGATGAATTATGTTTATTGTAATCAGGACTTGGATCAGACTCTGACTATTTTATAGATCTATAAGAATATTTTTTTCATTAATTGATATAATTTCAGAATTGGATTTGTTGTTGTTTTTAACTGTATTGATGATGTTATGTCTTGAGAATTCAAGATTAAGCTAGAATTTCCTTTTTTCTTGGAATTTTCTTCTATCATATTTTTTCTAGTATTTATTTAAACTGGAATAGTAATGTTGTAATTAGTTTTTCATTTTTTTTTCTTTACTTTGTTTACTCATTGTGTTGCTGTTATCAATATATATGTAAGCAGGTCATGTTTTTTTCTTTTGTGTTTCTGCCACATGTGTTTTGTTGTTGTTCTTTTTACTGTTATCATTGTTTATTTTAGTTGCTGACATAGTCAGCAACAAGGTTGTAAAAAAGACAGAAGTGCAGAAAGTGGTTTCCCTACTTTGTTTAATCTTTGGTAACTTTGTCTGTTGTTATTGTAATCAGTTATTTAATTATTTAGTTATAAATTCTAAGTGTGCCTAGTTGCAATTTAATATTTGTTTACTATGTAAAAATAAATATAAAAACCGAAACAATTAGAAAACTTCGTAATTTACAATGTTTTGGTTTGTTGGGTTCTACTAATTCTAGCGATTCATAAGATTTCCCTTCCTCATCATGATAAAATATTTTTATTTCATTCGGCCGAGACTCCGGATTATCTATAAAAAATTATATAATTAACACTAACTAATTAAATAGATGGTTTTAACAGAAAATCTTTTCGATCACTTTCATACATATTATTCCGTGAAATACGAGTTTCTTATGTAAACATAATTTAATTTTAACAGCATTAATTGAATTAGCGAATGCAAAGAAAAGCATATACTATAACAATATAAATCTTTAAAGTATTTATTAAGTTCATAAATATTATTAAATTACGTTATTTTAATGCGTGAATATAAAGAATATTTATTAATCTAATCCTTATAAAAACCGTTAATGCAACATATTAACAAAACGCGTATTTTTAAATTTTAAAAATAAAACCCCGTTTTTGTCTGCCTCTACCATATTATTCTTTGTGATATGAATAATTGCTGATATATAATTATGAATTAATTGTGTTCAAAAAGTACACATTTAGTAAGATTAATGTGAAATGCTAAACTTTTTTTGTAGTTTTATTCGCTTAGTTTCCACATTATTTTTGAATAAAATACAAGAAATTCATAATAATGCAAATAAAATATTAGGTTTTACAATAACAAAATTTTATACAATTGTAGGTTAATAAACCTTTCACAAAGCAATCAATATTGTCCTTGCTGATTTTGTCTATAATCTGGGTTATATTGATCACTATACGGCCCTCTATCATTTCGTATATTATAATTATATTGTTCTTGTTGATAATAACCATACGGTTGCGCAGGATTTAGCTGTTGCGTTAAATTGTAATCATAAAATTGTGCTGGTTGCCCGACTGATGATACAGAATGATTAGATGCCGTTTCAGAATAATGTGCGTCATCACGCCCATTTCTTAACAATCTTGTATTATCGTTAACTGTCAAAGTTTGAGTGTTGTTGTAAGGCATTGGAGGTATTGGAGGTACTGGGGCTGCCTGTAGTTGACGATCTTTATTACGACGTTCTCGTCGTATTCGTGAGCGCTCCCAGTCTTCCCATCGTTTTAAAGGAACTTTAGATGCATCAAATTGACCTTCCTTTTTACCATGATCATCTCCTTTAGTTTCTCCGTCTACTTTTCTATAAAGTCAATTTAAATAAAACGATAAATACCATCTCTATCACCCATTAAATCACGTGAGTGTGTTTACAACCAACATTAATGTTAACATTAACGTTAATCGATCATTAACATAAACGTTAATCAATAATTAACATTAATAATTAACATTAATGTTAACATTAACGTTAATCGATCATTAACATTAACGTTAATCAATAATTAACATTTTAATGTTAATCTGTTGAATACACTACCAATAAGATTTCTGACAAATTTATACGTAATAAAGATGCGGTATGTAATGTTACGACTTATTCCATCACTAGTTAAGCTTATGCTGTAACTAGCTACGGCATAAGCTCTATTGCATCTCTAATGCAGATATTAAAAACTTGGTGCATTGATATAAATTGACCATATAAACAATTAATTTTATCGCATGCATTATATACTTGTCAGATAACTCACTTGTTGGTAGTCTATCGTTTTAACAATTTTTTAAAGAGAATAATAGAACATACCGTGTTTCACCCCAAGAAAAATCATCAAAGTGCCAGTATGCATATGTTGGTAATATAAAATTCCATATGGGTAGAGCTAAAAGATATATGAGCATCCACGCGATATAGACCAATTTTCTGGTAGTAAGTAAAATAGTTATGGCCGGTAATCCAAGAATCAATATCAACATTATCAAAGGAATAAGATCAGAAAATTGCTTCGGTGGGTTTAAGATAGAATTTGCTATCAGAGAATATGTCAACAAGATAGCAACTGGAAGGACCACAGTTCCGATGAGTTCCATAAATATAACAAACTGCATTGAGAAGCAGAAAGTTCCACAAAGATTTCGAACAAGAACAAGTTCCATAAGATTATGGATTGTTGAATTAATCCAACGACGACGCTGAGATAGTAAGACCCTGAATTCATCTGGAACAATAGTCTTGCAGATTGCTTGTGGGCAGAACATCATTTTACGGTGAGGAAAATTACGCAACATGAGAGTGGTTAAGAATCGATCCTCTCCAAGAAGTAACAAATTCTTTTGGTGAAGAGTATCAACAGCATTTTGAGAATATTCTTGAACGATCTCCGGTTTAGTAATGATTGGTACCCAATCATTCTCACCTTTACGTGTTTTGAGGCGGTACATACAAAAACATCCAGGAAGACAGGTAACACCACCAAATACTGATTCAAATCCCTTACCCAAATGATGTGATATATAATATTCAAAGACCTGAATAGCGGTAGTAAATGAGCCACGTTTATTCGCAATTCTTGTTTCACCACAAAGACCCATGATGAGATTATCATTACACATGCAATTGACAAGTAATCTTAGGGAGTCAGGATAAACCTTTGTGTCAGCATCAACCTATAAAATTGAAGTTGAAATATTAGAATTAAGTTCTTTAAATAATTGGATTACGTATATTATGAACCTACCATTAACACAAGTTCAAAAAAGTCTGGAGTAACACCCATTAAATGATGGATTTTTCCGAACAGGTCGTACTCCAACGGGCACATGCGCTCATTGTAGGTGACGCGGCTAAAGAAGCTCATCAATATTATTTGAGAATCACGTTTTCCGCGATTACCAGGTTTGGGCTTGCCAACTTCTGCATTAGTACCACATTTTACAACAGTAATCATAGGAACGCGTCGACCTTTAAAAACTATAAACAAGATTTAAAGAGATTAATTATAAAGTGGAATCCTTATAATCAAGGTTTGTTAAGTTATTGGTCAAGTAAAATAAGGTTTGTTAAATTATTGGTCAACTAAAACAAGGTTTGTTAAATTATTGATCAACTAAAAATTTGCTAGTCAATAGTCAAAGGGCCCCCAGTCAAACTAGTCTAGCCAAATTGGTTAAATTGTCTTTTATGAATTAAATAGTTGTGTTGTATAAATGTAATATATGTAAGAATACTTTATGTACAATTTGACCAATTTACAGTATTAAACCCTTTAACTGATCCGGTCAAATTGGCCAGGTCAAGATTGACCAATGACCGGTCCGTGTCAATTCTAATTATGATATTATTATAATTTAACTTACCAAAATGTCCGGCATAAACTTTTGCCATGTTGTGTTGCTTAGACCCCGCAGCCACAGCAATATAACTTTGAGGTTGAGGATCTTTAATGGCTGGGTCAAGTTCCATAAGTCCGATACAAATTTCGGGAGTACTTTTAGATTCACCACTTCCGGTAATGATACCATCACAGATAAGAAACAATAGTTTACGTTCATCAGGATAATCAGTAGCTGCCATTGATTCACAAGTTGCACGTATACCTATTTCGCCTTCTGAGTAACATGTAACTAACAGAACAGTGAACAAGTCGTTTCCGACATCATTCATGACTTTAACATTACTGTTAGCGTAACTAATGGAGTTCTGACCTCCATGTTGACTGATTGGCATAGGTGCTACTCTTCTAGAATTGTTATTATTCTTTGGTGGGAGAGCGAGACGATGAGATATGAACCAATTGAACACACAAGCCATAGCAAATCTAGTCAGAACTATTCCTAAGATCACAGTCAGTGAAATATAAAGAAATAATTGAGAAGTAAAGCATCCAATAGTTTGCTTATCAATGTTTCCAGCATAATATTTAGCAATTAGACAATTGACTACATCCTTTGTACTCTCCCTGCCAAAAAGAAGACGAGTCGCATCTTTTCCATGAGTACCAGCTAAAACTTTACGAATAATAACATCCATTTGGTCTGATTGATTTGCTGCTGGGTGTGTCGTTATATATGGGTCGAGATTTAAAACAAACCCATCTACAACCAAATAATTTTTCAACAACGGACTATTAAGTTGATTCCAATCAAAACCAACTTTTCTCGATGTGTTAAAAACATTAAGTGTTTTTAGTGTGATTTCATTGAGTTCAAGAGTTCTATTGCTACAATTATCTGGAACACAGACTGAATCTCTTACAATGGTAAACTGTTGAATTGGCTTTGGACTACACTGGGGAGGTTCACTCCGTTTGAATGAATTAGTGATATCCTGCCCATTTTGTTCTATCATAAGCTTCGTAAAATTAAGATTTGGAACTGAACGAGCGTTACTAACGTTAAATTGCCAACCCGCTATGCCAAGATTTCCTGATAAAAAAAAAAAAGAAAAAAAACACCGAAGAAAAAAACGAAATTAAAAACCGAAAATTTTAAGATAATCAAGGCCGAGGTATTAGAAAAATACCCATAGCCATATTATACGTGTCTTATATATTAATTGGACAAATATCACATAAATAAACAAAATTCTCTATCGCTTTTTCCTTTTATATGAACGATATACCAATCAGCAGGGCCGATTATTTCTGTATTTAAAAACAAATACAGAAAATCATCGACCATGCCAATCAGAAAGATCACGCAAAAGTATGTCTCAACTCGAGACTAAAGGTGCAGACATATTTTGTCGTTACTAGTTAAGAGCTATGTTAAAAGTCGTTTTGACAAATTTTTTACCTTATTACGTAAATATGTCTGCACCTCTATTCGAGACTAAGGATGGCAATAAAAAAAAAAAAACTCTTCATCGTTTAAAACATTTGATGAATATGATCAGAATTTAGGCTTCAACTTATTCAAGTCACAAACTTTGCATGTTTTTAAACAGGGAAAACTTTTTTCGCCATCCCTACTCAAGGCACCTCCACACAAATTTGGGTCACCCATGGGTAGGCCCAAAAGTGCCAGGCTAAATTATCATTTCCTGGCTTTAGGGTAAGAGCTCGATTCTCGAGCTCTTACTCAAATGGTTAGGACTATGGGCCCATGTGGAGACATAATGTTATGTGCCTAAATCTGAAGGCTGTATTTATATTTATATTGTATAAAAACAAGCTTACCAGGAGATTCGCCAAATCGCGCATATTGGTTTGGGTTATTTTCCTGCGACGGCGGGCATAATACAGTCGCGAAACCAACTGTTAAAAAGGCCACAACCGCACCCATTACAGCAGCTATGATGCATAATGCAACTTTTTCACGCCATGCTTGTTGAGATTGTGCATCACGAAGACCACCGAGAGAACTTAATGCTATACCTGGGGCCCAAAAAGTTATTACTCTAGAGAATATTACCCAAATGTCCCAAGAATTTTCTTGCTCCTTTTTACCAGATAGCAATGGAGCAACAGGTAGGTGACGTTCAGGCCTGCTGAGTGTCTTTCCACGTCCTAGTGTACTATTACGACTAAGTGGATATTGGCCAACATCTTGGAAACGTCTATCTGAAGTGTAACCACTTTCCATATGGTGTTTACACTTACGTACAAAAGTTGGGTAAAAACTTAGATAAAAGCAATGATCTTAAGTCTTTTCCCAACGGACTAAGTAAAGGAGAGTGTAAACCGCTCAAAAGAGAAGAAATTTTGTTGGTTAGGAAGGAGGCGGATGTTTAGGGATGGTTCTCTAGGGAAAAAATTATTTAGAGAAAGAAAATAAATAAATGAAACGAAACATATTTATATATTTAAAACTGTGCTGCAATTAATTGTATTGCCTTAAATTAGTCTTAAATATTGAATTGGGTTTAGTACTGTCACACAAAATATCTAAATTATAAAATTGTTTGTATTATATATGAAACCCGTATTTTTTTTCGCGTTGTTGCACAAAAATTAAGATTTACGTATATGTCGATATCAATCCTAAATTATTATTAATCAATCCCGTATGTACATAAAAGTTGTTTCATCCATCAATGTTTGTCTGACCGATCTGACAACGGGTTTTACTAATTTAATTATTATTATCATCACAGTATATAATTTTCGTAGCACAAGCTTTTTAATTTTGAATTTGTGACTCGCCAATTTTCTATCGTGTGATCGGGGTATTTTTTGATTCGTCTTTATGAGAAAACAAAATCATTCTATTTCTAATCACTACAACACAAGATATTTTTACTAGAATTTTTTTTTTTTAAAAAAAACCAGAATTCTGATTATTATTTCACAAGATGCATTTACTAGATAAATAAAAGCAAAAAAAATGATTCAGTGGAAGTTTTTTAGTGGTTAGCAAGATATTATTAACTTGTCAATCCACGATTTGTCACGCAAATCACGGAGTGAATTTATTATATGATACGCAGCCTAATTATTATAGTACTGCCGATTACTTGTTGTGATTTGTTAAATTTTTATGTTTTTCAATATTAGTGTTAAAATTTTTCAAAAATTAAGCCAAATATGTAGTTGGATAAATTTTATCAAAAACTATTTAAATATATATAGATTAGATGCAATTAAAAAAGACCAAATTAACAAGAAATAGGGTTTGCAAAAAAATTAATATGTTTTCGAATGAGACAATCATATATAAACCTATATAATAAATTGTGACGCATTTTACTATAAGTTCAACAATGCCATTTCACGTAAATAATAGTTTGTTTTCATTAGTCGGAAAATCGGTTTCTAGCAATATCTCGGCTAGTATTCTGAGTTGGTAAAATTTTTTCCAATCGATTAGTTGTCAACTATAGTTGCAACTAATCGGGTTTTCCTATCATGTGACTAAATTTGTTGGTTGGCCAATTAAACTAAAGAAATTAACACGAACCAGCTTGAATAGACGTAATATCTCAGAATTTAACTAGTTGATGATTTAATCGATTAGATCTACGAATCAGATTTTAATGATCTTACTACCATTAGAATCAGAAAATGACGCTCTACAAGTTTCTTAAAAATTGAAGACACATTTACAGTCAGACCTCGATATAGTCACTCTTGATATAGTCACAAAATATAAAAATAATTATATTTTCGTTTTACCAACCATTATAATGCATAAGAAAATTAACTTCTGTATAGGCACTATCACCTTAGTCACATTGCATTTTGGTTACCAACCCGGTGATTATATTGAGGTCTGACTGTACTTAGTAGAAAAATGACTTTACTTTGTCATTGTGGCTTGCACAGCAAGGTCAGGTGTAACGTAATACAATCATGAAATTTCAAAACAACCGTTTGTTTTGTCAAAAATCGCCTATTTCTCAAAAGTTTGCATAGAAAACCATCATTAGTGCACTAATAAAAAGTTTTTCTTGGACGATTTTACTATACAACTATATAATCTTTAACTTATTCAAAATGCTAACCCTAACATAAAAAATTTGCGCTTATGGCTTAGCAATTTTATATAGTAAATCTGCGCGCCACAATTTACTATAGTTGCCTCATTCGGTATATTATAAGCTTTAAAAGGCTATAACGATACATACTATATGATTTTATTAATACACTACGTAGCATTTATTTTTTAAACAAAAATATTTTTGTAATAATTTTTGAATTAGTTTAAGTTCAAAAAATTTGATTAAAGCTTTTGCAAATTTAAATTTCAATGTCTGATGTAATTAAATTATGCATATGCTATACAAATTTAATGCATAAAAAAAATTTGTTTACAACTGTTTTCATTGTTCTGAGACATTGACAAAAAAATTGACCGACCGAATATTTCCGATTCGATAAGTTTCGATTTGGCAGTGGTCATTACCGAAATCACAATATCAGAATATTAATAAGCCTAATGAATATAAACTTATCGAATCGGTAAAATTTTCGATATCCTCAGAATTTATGACAACAGCTATAAAACCACTTGGTTATTACAACTGTTTTCAAATTTTGGGAAAAATCTGAAATTGTCCGAATAATTATTCCTCCATTCGATAAGTTTGATTTCGGGTAATTATCGAATACGCAATAATGTGTATATCTTTGCTAAATGATACTTGATTTTGATATATATGGGTAAGAATCGCAAGAGAAAAGGGCACCTCGGCAAATGAGTGTCGCCAAAAGAAAACAGGCATATTTAAAAATAGATCACGTATCATAAGTAGTCTATTTTTAGATATTCAGGTTTTCTTTTGGCGACACTCAAAATGTCTATCCTATTGATATATAAATTTAGTATGAATCACGTTGTACGTATCAGACAAAGGGCATTTCTCTTAGAATGCTATTTATAATAAAAATTATAGTAAAAACATATGAATTTACTATAAATTTTGAGCTGAAGATCCTTTTCAACTTAACTAAGTAACGTAAAATTAAATTTTGCGATTATATAGAACAAAAGAAGAAAAAATTTAGCTTAAAAACTAAATTAAAATTTTGCTAATTTTGTCTAGTTTGAAGATGTAACTTATTTAAAAATAATTATTTTTTAATTTTAAATGATTATTATATGTAGAATTATGTACTGAACAAGTTTACTTAGAAGACAAAAATAGGATATCTTAGTATAAAAATGAGTTAACTATGGGTTAAAGATAAATATTTTTGTTTATTTATATTGAACTTTTTTTTTATTAAGATATCCTATTTTGACTTCTTAAGTATATTTGAAAGTCTAGCAGTTCAGGTATTGTCAGACATCTAGATGTTAGCAGGTCTTTCGTGAGTCGAATTCCTAAACATTTTCGAAAATATGAGTGTTGAAAGCTTCCAGCATTTTTAGGAAAACTACGTTAATCAGATTTGGATGATATAAAATATTTTAAATGAAAAGTCTGATTGGTATTTGCATGAGCTACAATCAGAGTTATAATTCTTAATCTATATATAGTAGGAGAATACAAAGGTTACAAATTATTAAGATCCTAAATATATTACTATCCCTACAATTTAGTTTCAACAAATATTAACTTGTTGATGGAATTATAACTTGTGTTATATTTTTTTTAATCCAGTCAATAAATTCTTGTTCATATAGTACTTTTGTTTATTAGCGCCTATTAGTGTAATGCATTTAGTATGAAAGCTTATCTTGGTCATTGCCGTTAGGGTCAGGTTAGAATAAGAGTTAAGCTTAGTGTAATTTATAAACAAAAACTTGTCAGTGAAACATATTGTCGGTGAATCTTATTGTCGGCGAAATGAACTTGTAGGTGAATCGGTGAACTAATTTTCGGTGAAATGAACTGGATCCATTGAGTTTCCGAAATTAATTTTACAGATCAAACCCTGAAAAATGTTATTTAACACGCACATAATATATGTTGTGCTTAATTTAAGTTTATCAGGAATTGGATCAGAAAGCGGAGCTGGCAAAAATCGAAATTGCAGGTTTTTGCTTGGCGAGACTCAAGTAGTAAAATAGTTATGTTAAACTATAAAAAGAAAGAGTTCATTATTTGTTGAAGTATAATATTTATAAGTTATATACAGTATAAAACTTAATACGTACAAATTTTTTTAAATTACTAAAATTTTTATTAAAATAAGTTATTTTTAATTTTTTTTTTAATTTCTACGTATATTAAAAAAGAATCTTAACTATGATTTTCATTACATATTACTATTGCTACGTAGTATTACAAAATCAAAATTCCAAATAATATTGATTTTTTTCTTTTGTAATAATAATATATATGCATTTCTGACAAATTTGTAGAAAAAACTATAATTATAATCTACAATTTTAAATTATATATATATATATATATTTTTTCTTAAACAGTTTTACTTTTATTTATTAAGTTATAAGGTATTGTGACGAATTTGTGATATCTCGTGATCTAGCGAACAAGTTCGAATGGTGTAAAAAGCATCTGAATCTGATTACTAGATCACGAGTTATTGTCAATAACATGTTAAAGTAATTATTTTATAAAAAATTTGACGAACTACAAACGTATAGCCAAGAAAAGACAAACTTCGTATTATGTAAATCGATCATAGAATTCGAAGTAAATTTGTTCGTAGTGACAAATTACATGTATCCTGAAATTTTTACGAAATTCTGTTAACTTTTTATTAATTGACTTATGCAAAATACGGTTTCACGGATTTTTTTTTATTTTCTTTATTAAACATATTTTGCAAAAATTAATTAATAAAAAGTTATCAGAATTTCGTAAAAAGTTTGTCACTACGAACAACGTTACTTAGAATTATATGGTCGATTTACATAATACGAAGTTTGTCTTTCCTTGGCTATACGTTTGTAGTACATCAAAATTTTTTATAAAATAATTATTTTAATATGTTATCGACAATATCTCGTGATCTAGTGATCGTTTTTACACCATTCGATTCATCTCGATGAGATGAATCGAATACTATATAAATCATTTAAATCTGATGGTTAGATCACGTGATATAGCTAATTCGTCACAATACCCCCACCCTCTCTAAAAGTTGCTTTTTTTTTATATTTGAATTATGATATATTATCATCTCTTAGATCATTGGGTCCAATATATAAATAGTCTAAGAAACTAGACTATA